TCCAAGAATAAATCTTCCGTCTTTCTCGAGACGTGAGCTTGGGACGCCTATGCTCAAACTCCCTAATTGCAAGCGTAACAACAACCTCAAGAAACCTCACCACAGCACCCCGGGGTCGTAAGATTGTATGTAAACGCGTTTTATTTTTCGACCACGGCTAGGCAGGTTACCTCACCTACCTGGGGTCCCCCACTTTCATGTACACAGGCCCATAGGCGAAAATCGAATGGTGAAATGTTTGAGAACAGATGCTAAGCATTACGTACATGCTATTTTTAGACTCACTGCATTCCCGCTCGTTTGTGCAGTCGACTGGTAAACTCGAGAGCATTTCATTACTTGATCTTATCCCGTGCTGCAATATGAGGTATTGCGACTCACCTCCTAACTATTAGTGATTTTTTTTAAACGTGCACAACTATTTCCAAAATAACAAGTGGAATTTTGCGTAGTGCCAGGTAAAAAGAACAGCCAAAAACAGAGTTCGGAGGAGATCCATGGAAGACACCTTATACTTCCCAGCAGGAGCAAAGATGGCGCCTCATGCTCCTCAGCGGGAGCGAAGACGGCACCCTATGCTCCGCAGCAGAAGCGGAGACGGAGCCCTATGCAACCCAGCGGCGCCCTATACCTCCAAGCAAGAGCGACGAGGCCCAATCTTATCTAGTCTCTCCCTTCACCGGCAGGAGATTTGTTGAATGTAGCAGACGATATGATTTACGATGATGAAGCATGAATGGACTCATGATGGAAAAAAAAAAAAAAACTCTGCCCTGCCGCTGTGTTGGTACGCGAGCTTTATAGCGCATTGGTGAGCCAGTTTTCTCAGTCCAAGCCTTATCTTTACCGACCTCGACATCTTTAGGAAATTAGACACTAATTACTTTAAATTTATTTCGCAAGTGATGATTATGAGTATTTTAAGTCAACAGAATAATTTTATTCGCTCCTGACGTCACCCGTGTGTTTATTCAGTTTTAGACAACGGACAATAAAGAATAGAATCATGCGTTGCCACTAAGTAAAAGAAAGAAAATACACTTACAGGGGGAACGAAAGAAAAAAAAAGGAGTTGTAGGCTATGTATCACGCATCAGAATTCATATAGTTAATATTTTTTCTTAAAGATATGAGAATAGCTTCTTGTAAATGTTATCCTAAACTGACAATCGTGGAAGGCGTTATTTTGAATAATTTGCGCCAGAAAACCAAATACATAACAAACACTATCTGACTTCTTACCTTTTTATAATTAAATGTTCTCTTTGAGTTTGATCTTCTCCTTCTAGGGCATCTTGCAAACAGACATATGGGTCTCACATCTCGAGGAGAATTTTGATTTAGACTGCAAGTAGTTCCCGAGAAAACAGGGCCTAGAAAATATGAAACTAAAACTATGAAAACTAAGCAAGCGGTGAGTCTCGTGTTATGTTGTTTCATTGCTAAGGTATTTTAACTGTTTGGAACTCAAGTTCGGGTAAGTTTGAGTTCCACGTGTCGGTACTTGGCAGAGTGTGTGTTCTGTTGCGTTTGATCTATGTAATGCTGAAGTCTCTTCGTGCTAAAAGCGTTGTTTATAAGAACTGGCCTAATGCATTTATTCAATAAGCCAAGCCATTAATCGCACGGTGGTGCGGGGAAGTTAATGTAGGGTTTTGAAAACTAAAAGAAAATCAATCAGTAGTGGTTAAACCTTCCTGTTTGTAAATTATATATTATAGCTCACCCCTCGTGACGTCACCAGCCGCACAGACTAATCTGAAATGGCTTTTTGATATGAAGGAAAAAGTCGCAATAATTCATAGCTTCGTGAAGAGGTCAGGGCCAGATTGAATTTATCGATTCCAGAATTATTTTATTCGAACGTTAATATCGCTAGAAGTTTGAAGCTTTCCTGAGTGTCATGGGGATAAACGTCCACTCTCGCGATTAGACAAATTTGATTATTTAGATATAACTAATATACTGCCCAGCTACAATGAGCAGATAATTGCACTTATACTTCAAAGGTTTTCTTTGATAGGGACGCGTTTCCCTAATTAACAACTCAATTTGTGGTTGATAAGACGAGCCGGCTGCAAATCACCATCGCGAGGGAGTGTTTTTTCGTTTGGTCGAAGAGAAAGCCATTTTTATTCTTAAAGGAAAAACAGTTTTCAGCACGTGGTAGGCTTTAATTTTTTGTGAAGGTGAAAATCAAGAACAATGATAATGACGCTTCAGTGAGATTCTTTTGGAAAATATTTGGAGTCTTTCATTGGCCGATGGATTAAAAAGCTTATCGGCTTCTTCAGCTTTGTGCGTGTTTCGTTGACGTTCAAGCGTGGGATGATCTATCAATGGGGTAATAATTCTATCTTAGGAGTCAAGGTCTTAAGCATATGCAATTCATTGTCATGAAGAATGCATATTAGACCGGCAAAATGAAGCAAGCCTTTTTCTTTAGCTTGTAAATCGTCTTAAATTCGGAAGACGATATTATCTTCCGAGTGGATCTTCTGTTTTCTTCTATATTACAAAGAACTACCTCCTCCTCAAGGCCAGATCTTCTGTAGAAGTTACATTTAAATTTTTTAAACATTTTTAGACGTTTCTTTTTCAATTTTACTAGCTATAGGTTGTATCATTATGTGGCATGAATCTCATTGTTGCACCTGCCGCTATCAAATGCAGTGACGCGCTGTGTTGAACAATTGTGTTCACATCTTAATTAAATCGTTTTGTAAAACAACAATAGGAAATTAGTGATTGGAAAGAAGGAAATAATATATTTCATTTATCTTTCCTTCTATCTTTCCGTGCTTCAAATGTCAGTTCAAAGGGTCACAAGGCAGTCTCACCATCCAGTTATTTCATAACAATGGCTATATTGAGATGCAAGGTAAAGACATTGTAAATTCAAAGAAATGAGAGTTCTAAATTTTCGCTGTCAACTTTTAATTGTCTTTTATAGAAATACCGAATTTCATGTTAGCGCGCAAATTACTCTCAGAAAAGTTTCCCTTCATAGTGGAAACAAAATGATAAATCGATTGATTTGAAGTCGAAAAGAAGTTCAGAGCAGCATCTCGCAAAAACGCAACAACTCGGCTGGACTTCGAGTCTTTTCATTGTCTTGTGAGTATGACATGACATTTTTTCAACCAAATGATAACTTTTGAAAGCTTTGCTTTATAAAAAAAACCATCCACTCCTCAAAGAAATAAAAGTAAAAAATACCCAAGAATACTCAGAGTACAGTAAAAATACTTTCTTGAACAATGCTCTATAATTAAATATTCAATGAGCAAAATCTTTCAATGCTAAGCTCGGAGAAAAAAAAACTTCTAGCCTTATTTCTATGCCGCACCTGCAAGTTTTTGATGAAATTGAAGCAGAGAACTACAGTACTAGTGGCCATTGTAAGTTGGCCATTGTAAGTTATGGCAGAGTCTCAGTTTGATTATCGATAAAAAGTTCTGATTTAAGACGTAAACTGATTTTCTGTAGTCACAAGTTTATACATTAAGCAGAAGAACCATTTACGATGGTGATGCTTTTTTTTTTCTTCTCAAAAAGAATTATTCTTGTAAAACTTCCATTGCTTTGATGGCAATGAAAGTTTCCGCAAATAAATCAAACATTACACATTTCAAATTCAATTAGGCTTTGATGCAATTTTTATCAATAGTAAGAAATTATCCTAATTCATTTTCGTCCTTCTTTGTTCAATTCCTCTTTGTTCTGAATCACTGTTTGAAGGAAACCGCAAATTTTTACACCAAGACGTTTGCCTAAGTAGTATCTGATTGCACAGAGTATAAACAAACTCATGTTCCCCTTCTCCTTTGACTTATAAATCTTTGAAAATCTCGCCAAGTTGTAGTATTGTACGAAAACCTGCAAGGTTTGTACAGGTGTGCACTATAGATTATCTTATTTAAACGTTTCGCACTCTTTAAGCCAGGAAAGCAGAGTGAAGTAAGAAGTAAAACTTGAGTTATCAATGTCAATAAAAGACAACATTACAATGAAAACAAAAAGAACAGAGAAAACATGAAAACAATGAAATGAATAACATTGGTACGGTGTTAGGAGAACAACATTTCGAAGTCCTCTTCAGCTGTTTCTTACGTCACATTGCACACGTACCGCATGGCTTTTAAAGTAAAATGTAAACCCATGGACCGGCTAAGTAGTTTCAGAGAAAAAAAAAAAAAAAAAGCTGAAATTGCTGATAAATTTCTTTTTCCCTCATTTTTTTTGTATGTCACCAAATGAAGTAAAAAGACGGCGCTATGGTGCACCGCTTTTAGTTCAAGTTATAAAATTAAGTTGAATTCAAGGGCATACGGAGTATAACTAACATGATGATAAGCTTAACTACGAGTAGTTATATTTATCTTTGTTCATAGTTATAATTACCTTTGTTCTTTAGCGTTTCGTTTATATACACCGCGTGCTGTTTTGTAGGGTGTTCAGTTTGCCATGAAAATTTGATGAGTATTAATCAATCTATTTCATAAATAGACATGATCAAATCATAAACCCAACCCTTCCCTTTCAAAACGAAAAAAATTTTTTTTAAGAAATGCTGTGGATCTTTTTAAGTACAAGTTCAAGTTTGGTCATCCAGGATCGCGAAAAAACTTTACCTTTCTTAAAAAGTCTCTGTTAGATTATATCGGTTTACATACATTTTTGTAATGTAAATCAATTTGTAAGAACAAACCGCCATTAACTTCACTTCCATATGTAAAGGAGAGAAATTTTCTTTTTTAATAAAAATTTCTTGATTCTTTCGGAGTATATTTTCAGCAATCAAAAGTTAAATTCCCCCGTTGATATGCCAGTGCGGCAGTCATTCAAAGTTCCAGCTTCTTGTCCGGCGTTAAAATTCTTGAAACCAAACTGCTTCAGAGGACGCTAATGTAATATGTCTGAAAAGACCATAGACTGAGCTTTAAATTCTTTATTATCATTAGACACTCCGTTGATTTTCAAAAAATTGTATTCTGCCCGACTTTTCTTTATTGCCCTTAACACTACTGGATGACATTATTCTAGTCTCCATAATTTAAATTTGACCTGTATTGTTTCGTTGTTTCACGATCGCTAGAATCTGAGGAATACAAAAACGATTCTTGCTAAGCTGACCGACAATAAACAGAAGTTCAAGGTTTGGCCGAGTAGACTTTGTAAAACTTTCCTAACTTTTCCAAAAGAGCTGTCAAAACACACGTCTCGTGTTCTTTGTTCCATTTTATTTTCACTCACATTCTTTGCTTACTCCTAGTGCAACATACCGAAAGGCTGATGGAATATCCAACAAAAAAATAGGAAAAAAAAGTTCGAATCACAAAGCCTTTGCAATTGTATATTTTTCATCGCCATTTCCAGCATGGTCCAAAAAATATCTTCACTTATCACACCAAGAAGTGTGCATAGTCCCCCAAATGTTTCTATATGTTCTATTCCATGACAGTCCAGTGTTTCTAATGCAGTATTTTCCACCGTGTTCTGTACTTAAATCCGTAATTTACCATTAGTCTTCGGCAGAATCGATAACGAAGTAAATCCAAAGCATTAGGTTGATCATAAGAAATGTCAATGGAAACAATATTCTACTGCGGCTGTCAATCCTTTGTACATTGACGTCTAGCTCCCCAAATAACTTAATTTTCTCCCGCAAAGAAGACAGTTGACGCTGCAAGTATTTCGTCTTGAGATCACCGCCTTCTCCATCACCTGAGTCACTCTAGTAGATAGAGTATCATGTCAGGAAATTAACAGTGGATGGAAAGCAGATAAACCATGCAAATAAGCATATATGTGTAGACCTGAATACGAATCCATTTTAAAAAATGTGTTTGCAGAAGACAGAGAGAGAGCAGAACAAAACGAACATAAATGTAGAACGAAAGGGTAACATCCAAATCAGAGGTGCTATTCGAATGAGGTTCACAGAATCTATTTTATTTACCGATACGACAATTTAAATTGAGTGGGCGTAAGGACTCGTTGTTTGTATCTTGATTCGCCTTACGGGCTCGTCAAAATACGGCACAACCCGTAAAAACACTCAGAGATACTACACACCAAAACGTCTAATAAGATATTTATTTATATATTCCCCTCTATGCCACGGAATTTGCAAGATGCGTTGTTTTCCCCTTAAGTAATCGATTCATATAAGTTAAAAAAGACGGACACACAAACTAAGAATAATAAAAGTGATGATGATAACGGTAACTATCATGATGATGAAAATGGAATCATTATGACAAACCCCTTTTTCCACGTCAACATTCCTAAGTTTCCTGTTCAGTTTATCTTTCTTTCTCGCCTCCAAGCTATCATGGAAGTTGATGATGGCAAATTCAACCAGGGCGCCAAATACATACACTAGACACAGCATCAGTATCCAATCACTGTACTTTGTGTAAGTTACTCGAGGCAGAGAATTCTGAACTGCTGCGGTAAGAGTTATCATGGTAAGGACCTAGAAAAGACGTGGAATCTTCTGTGACAACCTATACGCTTTCTTTAATAATCATTTCTTCGATGTGCTGATGAACTTACAGTTCTGTTATTGTCATTACTTTTAGTCATGTCTCACCGTTGTGATACAGAGCGCAACTCTTGCAGGCGCTGCCTTGTAGTTTATCCAAAACGATATCCAGGACAAGGCCACAATTATAATAGATGGGATGTACGTCTCCGTTATAAACAAACTTAGTCTCCTCTTAAAAGTAAACGTCAAACTAAGTCTTGAATAGTTCCCTGAAAATAAAATCGTGGGTGAGCATCAATGCAATGAGATTTAATTATAAATGCATAGAAGGCAACCACTTTAGGTTATCAGTTAGTGTTTTGATAAGGAGATTTATTTACCATTATCCCTACTTATAGCCTCATGTGACCATTGTTTTAAAGCAGTATTTCAGGGTACAGATAGAAATTGGTCCATTTGATCTGTTTTAATAAGCCAAAATGAAGAGCAATAACTCCAAGGGGGGATTGTTTGTCACTGGGCAGAGTTGGATTACGTTCGCAATTGATTTCCAGGAAAGTATATATTTTTTTCCAAATAGGATGATGATACAAGAAATGCGTAGATTTTTTGTTTGTTTGTTTTGCTCTAAGTCCTTGTTGTTGGTCCTACCTGTGGAGTACACATCTGTTGTCTCCGAACTTTGGATTTTCACTAAATCCATCTGTGGGAGGGAGATATCAGGAGCTTGTTCTATTGAATGCTCGTGACCCCTTTTCCACGTGTATATGGCATCAGCCTCTGAGTAAGAATCTAAGGGCAAATGCAAGATTGTTTACAGTTGTGCATCATGAAATCTTAAAGGGAATTTTACACTAAACAAGTAAGCGAAGTGAAAGTCAAGCCCCACCTTCCAGGTCCTGTTGACACTATTTCAAAGAAGAAATAAAATATTAAAAATAATACGATTATTACTATCAACAGACGCGTTAATGTGGCCCCCCAAAGATGAACGAAAAGAAACCGTCTAAAAATAGTGTAGGTTTATTTACTTCGCTTCTCTTATAACATAAGATTATAAAATAACAGCTATTTTTCCTCTTACAGCTCACGATGTTCAGTTCACACTTTTGACTGTCCATGGGGTACTTGCGTAGCTTCATTCGACAAACACCAGTGACTGAAATCCTGCAACAGAGTACTCTCTGTTATTTTCGAATCAAAAGTCTTTTGCTAGTATACCCTAAAATCATTGATTAACTTATCGATGAATTGCCACTCGGAATTGTAATGACGATTTTAACCACGATGAAAAAGAATTCCATTAGAGTACCATGCAGCTTGGTCTTACCTTATACTAAAGAATACTGTTCCATTGGGCCAAAATATCAACACATAATTTTTCTTAGTGATCTCGTGGAAATTTGACCTCTTTTCACTATTAAAATAAGTGTCTGGGATCCAAATTTTGTCCAGTAGGTCTCCTTGAGCCACAATCTGAGAGGTGCCATTGAATCTGAGCCGAGGATCCTCCCATGTTTGACGAAAATACATTGTCATTCTATAATCCTTTTTAATAGAATTGGAGAAACAAAACACAATCAGCTAAGTGAAAAACAGAGCAACAAGAAAACAAACAAAAAAGGCAAACAAAAAAACGCATTTTGAAGTATACATGTAGGGCTTCCATTTATCTCAACGCTGATCACTGAATCTGAAAATTTTCCTTTAAATTGACCGATACATTAATTCAGTTTGGCTTTTTTTGCATTAACAATATGAAATTAAAGGTAATCTTTTTATTATTGAACTCTAGTTAAATAAACTGGTTTTTATCTTGCTGAAGGACTCAAAATATCTGCTCCCTCACCATATAAGCCTCCTTAATTTTGCTTATTAGGTGCTGAAGAAGATTGAATTGCATTTTGCCCTTGTCTTTTATCAGAATCGGTATTTTTTTTTTACTAAAAGCCTTATTAATCAGAACTAAAATATCTTACCATATTGGTCACCGAAATGTCACCAATATCAACAATGTATAAGTCAACGTAGACGGTTACTGGCCTTCCTAATGAAATAAAGATAAAAAGGAAAAAAAAATGGCATGCGTGCTTTTTCCTTAATGTCATTTTCTGCTGCTATTTTTATCACTTTGCTCCTTTTAAAAGAGTATAAACCTATGGACTACTTTGTTATTCGAATTTTTCGCCTTTTTTGTTGTCGTCTGGAGGTAAGGCTTCCTCCTATAGGGGGATATCCTTTTTAAACAAATTATTATGATAATCAAAAAGAAAACGAAATGTTATCTAAGTCGTGTCCTCCAAAAGATGCGCAGTCGCTTTGTAATTTTTCCTCATGGTGTCCTTGGCAATTAAATTTATTATCTTCATTCCAAACAACTGAGGTCAGATAACTGCAGTTCTCCTTTCAAAATCTTACCTCCAAACTTTGGTCTCAGTCTCTTGTCATGGCTATTTAACAGTAAATTCAAAGTATTGGTGGCGTTCGCTGTTCTTTCTGTCTCTAGGTCATGACTGGGACGAATTCAAGAAAAGTTACAACATCACGAAGGAAATAATGCAAAGGAATTAATGAAAGCTAATACTGAAAATATCGCTATGAGAAGACAACATCAGAGTAGTAATAAACAAGAACGGTTGTTTGTCTTTCAGGGATGGCCACCATACAGAATGAATCTGAATTTTAAGCAGAATGATACTCATTATCCATAGTTTTTTTGGTATGAATTTCAAGCCAATTAGCGAGACATAACTTTGCCAAAACAATCGCTTGGCAAAAATTGAATGCTTCCAAGTTTTGAAGCCGAAAATACCTACAGTGTTGAGAATAAGTCCAAAAAAAATTGATCATTGAGTCCACCAACAGATCATTATCTCGCCGAAACTGATGAATATATATAAGTGCGGTTTTTTTTTTCATAAGCCTTTCTGCTTCTGAAAATAGATTGCAAAATCACCACATTGCTGTACCATTTTCCTTGACAAAAAAAAGAAGAACGGTTCGTAAGAAAATGTGGCCATTTATCTAAGTAGTATACGAACAGTCCGGTCAGATTAATGGAGATTAAGGCTTACAGAAATCAATATCCATCGTCTGCTGACCTCGCCATTTTGTCACGCCTGGTCTACGACTCAGAAATGAAAATGCTCGAGAATGGAGTGGAAAATTAGATAAAATTAATTACAATCCATGTTAATGATACAGAGTGATTTATTACCACCATTCCTCTGAGTTTATCAGTGATATACTCAGTAGGATTACCCTGATCCCAAAATTATTTTACGATTGATGGACAGAGATCAAAGCTAGTGAGATGATTTGGTTTTGGCCATGAGTACATAGGAAAAGTCATCTAACAACGGAACGTCATAGAGGTAAAGCGTTAGTGGGTCTTCTCGATGACCGTGCAATACTCACTTTGTGAGCTAAACATATGTACTTAAAAAACACCCTTAAAAGACTTACTCTTCATGATTTTGTTCCGCAAATGTCGCCGGGTCAAAAATTAAGATTATGACTGAAAACTCCAGCCAGAAGATGTGACCAAACATGAAGGAACAGTTACTACAACCGATTAAGGCGCTGTTAATCCGTCTGAAGGGTGAAGCGGAACACCTGTTATGAAAATCACAAGAGTTAAGAGTTCATAAATTTTATAAATTGAGTAACATTCATTGGTAATCAGACGTGACCTGTTTTGAAATAGTTAATATGTATTAATCATTTATAATACACTCCAGGTTGGGGATAACCAAATAGCGAAAAAAAGTATGGTAATGACAACAAAGAAATAAAAATTAAACCAAAAGCCGACACCTTTTTTTATACCTATGGGTTTAGAGTTTACTTCTTTTTATGAAAAATTTATTATTATTGGCGATGTCTCAGTTCTCAGACATTATTTATACATGAAAATAAAACATGCTTTTTTTCTCAAAGAAATATGATGATGAGAATTTTTCTTTTCAGGCCAAGTTACGGAAATATGCGAACCTTTTCCAATAAATGGATAAATGACGTGTGCATTTTCCAATAAGAAATTTCTTCCAGGTAAATTACATAATTTTTTCAACTAGAAAATAGTTGATGGACAAATATTGACCAAAAAAAAGGGAAGGGCTGATAGATAGACTGACAATATTGATCAAATTTCCATACCGTTGATCTAAATTTGAAAGCTGTTTAAAGAAAGTTAAAAAAAAAAGTCATTTATTGGAGAGGAAAATTAAAAAGGATTCATACCATAAGATTAAGAAAAAAATTGATATTATAAATCAACCATAGAAAAAATATATCATCCACAAATCTTTGAATTCTTGAAACGAAAGATTCAAAGCCTGCCAATGATTTAAAATTTGCAAATTATATCTAAAAGAATTTAATTAACTGATAACTCCGTAGTCAATTACGAGCATAAGTTTAAAGTAAATGGAATTCAGATTTGATAGGACCAATTTCCACTTTAGTAGGCGTTTTCCTGGTTAAAATGAATAGACTATATTTAGTCGTTTGGAAAGTTACTTGTTGGTGATAAGGATGACTTGTATCATGCATGGAGGTTACGACTGATGGTAATGGGCTTTTTTGAAACGAAAAATAATTTAAAATTTGCAAATTATATCGGAGATAAATATTCCACAAATCACAGATATTCAATAGCTTGTTTGCTTAACTTTTTATTTGGTCGTAATGAACCATAGATTAGATTTTCGGTTATTCTGGCTGTTGTATCCCCACTTTAGCAACAGATAGTTTTAAATTGACCTCGAATAATTGGGCACAGAGCAGTTTTCAATTAACGAAAAAGCCACACCAAAGTAATAACAAATACAAAGGCTAACATCGCTCATCATTGACCAAAGAGAACTTAAGTAACAACGGTAGAAAGGAAGCTAGAAATAGTCAAACTGTGCTAGTAAAAGAAAAGGTGCAACATTCTCTCCACGTTACCGAGAAATTTTGTTACCGAATTTACTTTGTTATTTATCTTGTCCCCCCTTCTTCCCTTTTTTTGTTTTACATTTTACACGTTGCACAAGACATGCATCTCAACGAAACCAAAAAAGGAAGGTTAGTTGTAATTTAAAATTACGAACCATTTTCACATTAATATTGATAAGTGAAGTTTGTTTCCTTTACAGAACAGGTATTCGCCGTTGGAGTTTATTTGTTCCAACAAATAAAATAAATCACAGCTAGATTTTTAAAACAAACTCTGCAAATAGACCATAAAAGTCCAAAAAATGACATCTCGAGCTTGACAAATCAAGCACTCGGTGATTCATATGAAGATGGATGTTTTTGTCAGTCGTTAGCGAATTCCAGTTCAAAGCTTGCTTTAATTGAAAGTTGACAAGCTATCAGATACATAATGATAGAAATGCGTTGCCATTCGCATTTTGACTTACGAGGTTTTGGATTAAAATCAATACAACCTGAAAATTAGTCCATGAAATTACTAATGCAGAGCCAGGAACCTATCGATATTAAAAAGAAAAGGAAAAAAAGAAAAACGGCACTTTTCCGATCTGTTCATTAAAGGAAGGAATGGAAGTGAAGTCGTGGACTTCAGAATTTAAGCGTAAATTTAGATCGAGTGACGCTGGTAACGATGGAATTAGGTGGCCTGTAATAATTTCTTTGCACCTTAAGCGTGTCCAGTTAGTAGAATTCGGATGGCATTCAAAGGAAAAAACGAATGGTTTAGGAATTGAACTTTTTACGTTTAAAGAACACCTCACCTTGTGCCGAGTCCTCACTTCTGCCACCACCGTTGAGAATTTTAAGATATCATTCCAGATTCAAGAACACAAGTCTAGAATTTTCGCTCTTCCCTTAAATATCGTATGCAAGTAATTGATTCGTTTAAGGTGTTGCAGCATTGTTTCGTATAGGCTCTGATTTCGGTCTTATTGATATGGATCATGTCAAATGCCTTGTTTTGATTTTCATGGCGAACTTGTTTTTGTTATCCTGCTGAGATTTTAGTGAATGTCTCAATTCATTTGTCATAAATTAGACTGGAAGTATTAGCCACTAATGAATTTTTCCCCCTCTCTAACGGGCAGACCAAAACAGAATATATGAAGAAAAACGCACTTTGGTGTCTGAAAATGTCGCTAGAAATCCCCAAAACCAAATATAATATTTGAATACTTAATGATTGGCTGATTCCTAAAGCCACAACTTCACAAATCGGTGTCAAAAGTTTTTTTAGTTTGGACACTTTTGTATGGAAAATCTTTCCACCGCAATTGAATGCTTGGGCATTCGAAATTATCGTAAAAGATCCCTCTGTTGTCGTTAGCGCAAAACGAACAAACGCGCTAAGTGCATTGATGAGTTACGTTAACTCATGGAAGCTAGAGAAGGTTCGGCATTCTCATTACGTCACAAAAATTTAAAAATATTTGTGTATTCGAGTACAAGAAAATTCCTTTTTAACAACCAGGTACAGCACTTCTAAACGAAGACAGGCATGTCCTTTTACACATGGAAAAACACATACTAGTCCTGTATCAATTAGTTTTTTATATCGCCATCTGCTGGACTTCTTCTGAGGTAATATTTGGGCGCCAACATAACTTTTTAACGAAAGCTTTTGCTCAGATCGGACATCATCTCGTGGAAACACACACGGATAAGTTTTCACTTCAAAAAGGATAAGTAATGCAACGATTACTGGTATTTGTCTCTCTTACGGCTTTAGATCTCGTGTACGGTAAAGGTAAGTGGCTCTGAAATAACCTGTTCCCTTATTTTTTTCTTTTCAGGACGTGTTGGTAAGTCTAGGTATCTCTTTCTCACGCGCTGCGCTTTTTTTCGAGAGATTTAGAATCGAAGAGGAAGCTAACTAGTTATAACCCAATCGTTGAACGTGTCTTTTGATTTTGCCTTAGTTGTAATAATTCATATAGAGTTTAGTCGATGATAATTGTTATTCCACTGTTTGTTAAAGCTATTACTATCACTGTCATCCTCAAACTAAGTTTTCATCGCCATAAAACATTTTATCTCAGTGCAATATTGGTATGCCAGTCTAAGAACTTGAATCATTGCTTCGATAACGATGATGATATCATTAAGCAAACAAGCTACCTATTATAGCTAAGTTCAGGTAAAAAAAAGAGATATTATACATCATGTGGATCAGTATCTGAGGAATCATCTACCGGTAGCTAATAGTTGTGCGATTAGGTAGGTAGAGCACGATAGAAATGGAACAGGTACCAGCCTTAAGACGTATTTGTTTAGCTTTCAACCACCGACTTAAACCATCAAGGAAACCCTTGAACCAGTACAACACCGGTACCAATAAGATTCTTTGATCAGGGTAAATGTTTGGAAATAATTTTTTCACCTCCTATTACGAGGCAGGCTTTCACGTGTAACTCTTTCAAACAGAAAAGGAAAGAAAAAGAAAAACGTTCATGGGATAGAGTCCACTATCGAACCTAGAATTTGCATGTTTTCGGGTATACAAATTAGGCTGGTACAAGGAACCAGAACAAGAAATTAATACGCCTCATCTTTACAACAGAGAAAGGCTCGAAAATGAACGTTAATTAGCGATCGTAACTATATCCGAAATTCTAAAACCGTGCAGGTAGAATTTAGGACAAAAGAACTAATTCTGTTTGCTGCTCTTTGCAGATGATGGATGTGTTACCTTAACCGATGGAGACAAATCTTTCAATGGGGAAATCGAGTATGTCCCCATGAAATGGTTTGAAACGCCCTCGGTTGTTTCTTTAAGTCCAGGTATTGCAAATGTTTATCCAAATAAGCCACTTCTGTTAATTGGGACGTTTTCGAAACACTAACATTCCAGTTAGAGTATAGCATATTTTTATCTTCTATAAAAACAGTCCTCCAACAATGCCCAAAGTGTGATTAGTCTGTTGGGAAGATCTTTCAAACATCTGTTGTCCGTGTTTGTCCGTGACGGAGAATCACCCCTCGACGACCTGATCGATCTGAAGTCAGGATCGTTTACAAGAAAAATTTCCGCTTGAGAAACCGAGGTGGAACATTGAGCCGTCTTCATTCCCATTGCCCTGTCTTTGAGGTGAATAATGATGTGCTATTCTCCTCCCCCTCCCCCTCCCCCTTAAGCAACAAATCTGATCTACCGATGAGTTAGTATATAAAGATGACTATTTTCCTTCCTTTTTCATTTTTTTTTTTCATGAGAAGCATGTACAGGAGAAACAGCACTTGGGTTGGAAAGTGGTCTCGTTACATTCCAGCAAATGACGGCATCCTCCACCTTCAAGAAAAATCACGGTCCATCTAACGGAAGACTCAATCACGCGGCTGCAGATGGAAAAACAGGCGCCTGGTCAGCTGGGGCTAATGATACAAATCAGTGGCTTCAAGTGGATTTTGGAAGAAATGCCAGAATTACAAAGCTCGCTACTCAAGGGCGTCAAGACTACGATCAGTGGGTGAAGACATTTACTCTTTCATACACTCTTGATGGCAACCCTTCTTTTCAGATTTACCAGGAGAATGGGGCTGAAAAGGTCTGGTGAAGTATATCTTGCCTGATAAACATTCCAGTCAAACATAATTTCTCATACTTTTCAAGTATTAAAAGTTTTATAAAAGAAATACAATTTGCGAAATTTAATTTGAGTTGTAAAAAAACAAACTTCGCTATTGAAACAAACAAAGACATTAAAATAAAAATTTTGGATTGAACAGAGAATTGCTCATGTTTTAACGAGAAATGTAATTAACTAAAAGTCGAGAGTCAGTTCTTAACAAAAATGCCATGACTGTTTCTGCAAAGGTAAAGACAGTTTTTCTCCTCGTTTGCCATCCTGTTCAGGTTTTTAACGCAAACAAGGACAGGGACACCATCGTGAATCATGTACTAATTCAGCCAATCATAGCCCGGTCCGTCCAAATAAACCCAAAATCATGGAATGGTCATATCTCCATGAGAGCAGAGTTTTACGGATGCATACTTTCAGGTAACGTCTGAGGTAATTTGTTTGATCGACAAGAAATACTAAGGTTTCTCTTTTTCGTGTTGGATTAGGAGTGTAGAGCTCATCTTTTTTGATCGTGGCGTTGATGTGTGATAGGACTCTGCCCTTCTTTTATTCAGCTTAACCTTTCTGAACTACTGAGACAATAACTATTTTGTGAAGTTGCAAACAAAGGCTATTTATACAGCTACCGAATTTTAAAGAGGGAAGAACCTCTAGAGAGATTTGCATCGACTTTGTTAAGAAAGAGTTCTTAACATCAACTGATTTTCCGTTGGTTGTGCAATAGACCGATACCAAGTGTTGGGCCGAGTAGTGCACATGGATTTCGTAAAAGAGCAACTAAAAACAAAGAAAAAGGTCAACTTTGGAGACTCCCAGGAACAAACTAATGGAATCGAGCTTGCAGTCATGGCAGATACCATTTATGTGAAGGTGCGTTTGACAGTTTTGTACTTAAGTCTAGCTAACGCCACAATGGGCGCCTAGGGAGCTTATCGTTTATTTTTTTCGTGTTCTAGTCGGAGGGCTTTTTGAACATAGCGGGATTAATAAAGAGGTGCTTCATTAAAATTAGCTGAGGGCTGTAATAAATATTATGCATATAGTATATTCCTCATTTTGAAAACCGACGATTTTGAACTTGGAGATAGTGAAATTATGAAAACATGAAGTTAGAAATCAGAGAGACCTATTAAGTTAGTTACAAAAGTGCGAAAAACCTCTTTGGTAAACAGTTATTTCAAAATTACATGATACACGAGGAACTGACCTGACAAATAGGAACGCATGAATTAATACTTATCAATAGTATGTTAATAGATACGATGTGTAGTTATTCTAATTTTCAACCTTTGATCAATGATTTGATACACAGGGAGACATTAAAATGCGTGGCACCAAGAAATTGACAATGTTCAGCCGTAAGCTTTCATTTTTGAAAGGAAGTAAACTGGATCTCAGAGCTCCAGATCTGCTACAAACCTTTGATAAACTTGAACCTGGTGCTGATGGAAAGGATGGCAACCATGGTGTAAATGGGACCATAGGTAAAAAGATAGCTTTAAGTGCAGCCCGTAATCTCTGTTCTAATAATGTATGACGTAAGGGAGTTTCAGTACCAAGGACGCTATAGCAACGTAATATGTCAGAAATGTGCTAGAAACCTCTTGAGTGTGAAAATAGTGACAATGGCAATGATCTTCACATTTAGAGTGATGAATATGATGAATATTTTGAAGGTCCCACCTTACGTCTCTTTTTTAGAATCCCAGCTGCCGTAAGTTCTGCTTTCTTAAAGATATTTTTCCCTTATTATCAGTGGAGATATCAGCCCATACTGTCTTAGGATACATCAACATCATAACTAACGGCGGTAATGGAAACAAAGGCCAAAATGGCGCGGATGGGAGGAAAGGGGCTGACAGCATGGCAAAGGTATAAAAATTAGGAAACACCCACTTTTATGCCAGTGGCATATGTATTTAAATTTTTATGCGTTTGTTTGTCTGTTTGTCTGAATATCTCTCCATTTGTTACCAAGTAATCCCATCTACCCGATTTTAATCAGAACCTCCAAGGTTTCACTGTATCAATAACGAAATCTCGCTCAAAAATTTTATCGGCAAAATGGATGGACGATTATCACTCAGAAAAGAAAACAGATATGATAAGAATGACCTTTGACTTCCGGTGATAGAGCCACATCTTTGTATGTTTATCTGTATGTGACACTAAAGAGTCTATAGATTCATACAATGGTAAGGTAATTACAAGTGAGCTTTTTCCAATTACAACAGGAGCTGGATAAAACACAATCAGACTGTAATGCCCATACTAAGAGGAATGACAAGGGCAAAGTCACTGGGTGTACAGAAAATATCAAAGGGACACCAGGTGCCAAAGGAGGAAATGGAGGAGATGGGGGATACTCTGGAAAGTCAGGTTAGTGATCAGCAATCATAAATAAAAAATGGCTCGCGTGTGTTTAATTACTTCACTTGTACCATTAAAGACTGATTGCTAAACATATCGTACGTCTCAAAACTGCAACAGGGCACTCCAAAATTCCATCATCTCTCTTGACACACAATTCCCTAAAAGCCTAAAACTCTCAGCATAAGTTTCAAAACCTCGATTTTAATAGGAAAATTATTCTCGGAGCAAAAGGTTAAATTAAATATTCCTGACTTCGCCGGTCACTTTGAATAACTTATTTTCACCTTCCAGTTATTTGTTTGTGATTTTTTATTGTTGTTGTTGCTTTTTGTTTTTGCTCTCTTTGTTTTCTTGTTCTTTTTATTATTTTCTTCGTACAGTATGGTTATGTCACTGTTTTTGTTTTGTTTTGTTCGTTTGTTTGTTTTTTTATTAATTCACTCCATTTCATTTTTTAATAATAACTTGCAAGATTTGAAAGTAAAGAATATTGGCACAGAAAGAGTAGTTGAATTTTATTTTAAAAATGTGTATTTGAGTGGATGATATCGAAATTAATTATAACACGTTTATTTGTGCTGCCAAAGTTATGATTTGTCTAAAAACAGGTAACGGAGGAAACGCTGGTCGTCAAACAATCTATATAACAAGATTGCTCGGGAATATAGAGTTAAAGACGTGTCGCGGAACAGGAGGACAAGCGGCTAAAAATGGTGTGGGGGGAGAAGGTGACGTTTCGCATCCTCTTCTGCATTTTTAAAGCTCCTTTGCACGTTCACAAGTGGCATATCGAAATTCTGCATTCACTTATCGCCTTGTAGATCTTCTTTAGAGCTACTGCAGCCAATTCCCAACTATATGCAGAATTTTTTGCGATGTGGAGAGATCCCTAGAAACTACGTCCCTTCCGCCAAAATTAACCTACATATTTCAAAAACCTAAAACTGAATGTTGCCTTAGTTTGGTTAAAACACCATCACTTTCGATCTGCAGATGAAAACAGTACTAAGATGCGTTTGAAGATACTAATGATGATAGTGCTGATAACGGATAATGGCAATAATGATGCATTGCTACATGAAAAAATGAATAAATAAGATGAAAATGTAAAGGTTTTTTGGGAGGGTCAAATCTGGACTTCATCTTCGTTTTGAATTGAACATCATCATCACCCTCCTTTAACCTGACAGGAGGCCAAGGTGGACTCGGAGGTCGTGGAATCAAATGCAAATACCGCCGAAGAAGCAAGCTAGTCGGACTAGCATGCAAGGCTGATGGTCAAACTGAGGCTTCTCGAGGACCAACTGGAAATAAAGGTCGCAGCGGGCAAAGTTGAGTGTTGCACTTTGGTTGCAATTTCTAGCAGTATGGTATAATGATTTCTTTAGGGCAGAACGGCTTATTTATTCTTCTCGCGTAACCTTTCTTAACACCTTTATCGTTTGACCCAGCAAGTATCCTCCAACACTTTTGAAAAGGATGATATAAAATGATCCCAAAATGGATCTCATTTGATCCAAAAGTTGCATACCTTTGCGCTACATTTCCCTCTTTTATTTATCCTTTTTTCAGGTTCATGAATAAGCCATAAAATACATTGTATTTCGTTTTATTGTCTCAGCCCCTGTAAGCGCTGGTTCAACTGGTCAGGTAGCAGACACCTTCCTGCAAAAGTTAAACCTCGATCGCAGCCAGAAAGATAAATATCCAGTGGTACTGATGAAGGTGATGACAAGATACGCTGAAGACCTTGTTTGGCTCAACAACACCAGAAATGCGCAAGCAGTGTTTGAGTTTATAGCTGATTTAGCGACTGGAAGAGATGATGACCTAGAAAAATGTAAGATGGATTGGCACATCTACTGACTTTTGAGTTTTCGGATCTTGCATTACCAAAAAATTACAGCCCTGACTACAAATAAAGGTGACTCAATATGTTGGATTGATACTATCGGAATTCAACAATAAACACTTAACACATGATACAGCTAAAACCACGGTTGTTTTGATATAAAGAGGACGTAATTCTGTCATGTTAACCCTATATGTCAAAAAAAAGACTGAAAAACAGCGATCAAGAATTTTCGAGAAATAATCGGACGATTTTCTTGCAATAGTCAACAAGACAAAGAAAGAAAGTGTAGAGGCTTCGATTTATCAAAACGTTAGTGTTTAACATGACGAAGCAATTAAAGCCACCGTAAACTACAGATAGGTTTCATTTTTAACAAAAATACAAAATAAAGCTTGGAAATGATGGGCCAATCGGAAAAATGCTGTTTTAAAAATGTATTCCGGCACAATTATTGCTAGCCCGTGTCTTACATGTTACTTCTGTTTACCCTTGATGTGAAGCGCTGGTTCCTTTTAGATTCTTAAAAGCTAATAACGTTGTCGCTCGAAGCTAATCAGAAGAAGATTTGCAACTTTAAAACAACAATGAATGGATCGAAAGTCAAAAGGGAAGATGTCGCACCGTCCAACAACTTCTTTGAACTACTTGCTAAAGTAAAACAGCTAATTAAAAATCGAGTCTAGCGGCGAAATTTAATGAAAATGCATTTCATTTTTTTTTCAGTTGCAAAGCGAAGGCTGGGTTTCCTAAACAAGAAAGGATTTGATAGATTTGGAAATAATAAACTATTTGCACCTCTGATGAAATGGGAAACGTTTAAAGAGCAACTTGTGCGGATAAAAGATAATGCACAATCATATGAAAATGCCTACAATGAGATACGGGCATCTATCGAACGACAGGAAGGTATTAAGCAAGTGCTGCAAGCCCTTCCTTTACCAGCCAAGATTCAAGTCCATAAAGAAAAAGAAAGACTTGTGGAGGCAAGAAGGATAGCATTGAGCGAGAAGAGAGCCTATGTGCAGGTGCGTACCGCCCGGCTTTTCATTTAAGGACCCACTCAGTCAGATAGTTTGTCCGTCAGTCAGTCAGTCAGTCCTTCGACTAGTCAGCCACTCAGTAAGATAGTTTATTTGTATAATAATTTGATAGTGAGTCAGTTCTTCATCACACATTCACCCATATATTCACGTGGTTACTGAAAAGTACGCTTTGGCGTTTAAGAGCGCTTGTCTGTAAAAATTAAACATATCGCGGCAAGGGTGGAAAATTCGATTTCTTTCTTATTTTAATGTTAGATAGGCTAGGCTATAACTAAAATCACTGCATGCTTTTTTTGGCGAAATATCTCTTTATTTCAGGAAAAAAATACAAATAACGAAATTCCGTTAAAATCGTCATTTTTAAATTATTGCACGAGTTTTAGGGCTTCGCGTGCAAAAACGAATCACTATCTCGTCTTTTAAACACTCAAATCTTCTTTTTCGATCTCATAAGACCTCACAAAATGATTTTTGTAAACATTGCGCTCTTCTTTCTTCTTTGACCTTTCGCGGTCAACATTCCAGCCGCGAGTCACACATATATTTTAATATGTTTCAACCCATATGAGGCCGGAAAATGTACATGGGTACACATTTCCAAATGCTCTAACCTCATTTGCTGTAGAAGAAACATCAAAAGACCATTTCACTGTGGTTATCTTGTCGCTCGTCGTATTTATAACGTCCGATGAAACTGCCTGTCACCTACCCCCTAAAGTTCCTTTGTCACCGGTATTGCGTGACAACCCAAATACTCAAAGGACGTACATGTTTGTAGTCAACTTAGTTTAGCATTGAATTAGACTGTCAGATGTTATCTTTTAGCAATACTCGCAGTCAACTGAACCATTGAATAAGATGCCACAGTGAAGAAAGATATCGAACGTTTGACAACAAGATGGT